CAAGGATCTCGTCCTTCTTCATTCGACTCCGCCCCGACTTCCGCGGCCAAGTTGGATTGTTGAGCTTTCGGGACGACCTCCTGGCAGCATGTTGGCAACTCGGCCGTCAGTCTGTCATATTTCTAAGACTTATAAAATATATTCACATTCTGCGCATATATATTGGGTGTATTTCTAACGTTGTGCCCCCTGCTCTCCTTTGTTCTGTGCGTTTTCAGTTTGGTCGTGTGTTTTGTTTTTCCCTCGTCGTGGCAACATATTTCACTGCATAATTTCCTAGCTGATGTGACTGTTGTTGCCTTTCCCCTGCTCCTCTCGCAACGCATGCAAATGACAACAGCAACATCACGAGCGGCAAAAACCAGCAACACTAAAAAAGTTGACAAGGGGCAAGCCGCAACAAACGTCTAACTGACAGTTGTCTCTGGGTCCCACTATCTATAAAATATTCGCGAAGGTATATCGGATATTAACAAAAAATAACTGAGAGTTATAAATGGAATATTGATTGGTATCAGTTCTTGGACTATTTTCCTAAATACAGCATGCCATCAACATTTCCATAAAAGCAAAAGGCATCAAATGTATATTTAAGCATTACATATTTGCAGTCCCAAAAGATTTCTTTGAAAATTATTTTATTGCTATTTGCTGGCAAACCTACTTTCATAATTTTACTTAATTTTGGAAAACACTGCAAACTTTAATTTAGTAAATGGAAAGGAATAAACAAACTACTATCATAACAAAAAATATTTCATAAAAAACTTATATAAAATGTTCTAAAAATAATTTTCTCAAAAAAAAAAACATTTAAAAACTTAACTTGTGATCTTTTTTTATGACAAAACATCTTCCGACTTTTAATTTTCGTCTGGCTTTGATAGGTTGTTTTTTAAATTTTTAATATTTCTCTAAAATATTAGATTACAGGATACAAAATAGTTGCGATTCCTAGAAAACCTGTCGCATGGCAACCATTTTTTCTGCTCTATGCTTGGCTTGTTATCATTTTTTAATAACATTGTTGCGCACAGCGGTAAAATTTGCATAAAATACACAGCGGGCGACTGGCGACGGGACAACGAATGTATGGAGAGCGGTTGAGGGAATCGTGAATGGGAATGGAATGAGGATCCATGGGGACACCAGCGACGGCGGACAACATGTGGTATGAGTAATTTCTGGCTTAAGCACAAGACAACGGCACAAGCGTGCTTTATGACTGCGTGTGTGTTTGGGTGTGTGTGTGTGTGTGTGTGGCAATGACGCGATAGAATAAAACAATTTTCATACAAATTCCGTGCATTTGCATAAATTTCATGCACTCCGGACGTGGCGATGTCGTCATTTTCATTTTCATCTACTTAGCAAAGTACGGTGCGATACGCGGTGCGAAGGGGCGGTGGCAGCAGGTGGGCGTGGCTGATGAAGGCATCGGAGCATGACATTTAAACTGAAGCGTATAGGGTATCTGTGGCCCATTTCCTAGCACATCCTCTTTCACACGCCTGTAAAAGTTTGCGGCCCAACTTTTTTGTCGCTTTGGCAATAATCATAAAATTTCACTGCATATGAAACAAAAAACCATAAAAGCGGTACAAAAAAGGGAGCAGAAGAAACGTGATTGCAGCATAAAAGCGTCATTTACATGCCGTTGTCGTTGTCGTTGTCGTTGTCGCTGCACTTGCATCACTCTCATCGTCTCCATCCTGCCATTCAAATGTCCTGAAGTCTCGAAGTCCTTGAGTCCTGGTCCTGCTCCATTTGCGCATGCGTCGCAAACTTTTCCGTTTGCCATTTGCCGCCTCAATAGTTGCCAGTGTTTTCCTCGCCCCGCCCCACGGCTTTATTGAGGTTTTGTTTAAGCTTTTAGTGTAGTTTCCCATTTTTTGGGTGAATTTTTCGGTAGCTAGCAGCTACCAGCTAACCATTCCATTCCATTTGGCCAAAAAAAGTTTTTTCGGTTCTGTGTTTGGCCGGCAGCATTTTTGCAATTAGGCAACTGTTCTATATGAGTACATTTCTTTTTTACTTTTCTTTTAGTTTGCCAAATGCAATGGAACTTTTCATTTTCGGCCACAGTTGCAGAGTTTTCATTGCTAACAGCATTCGGCACACACTCAAACACACACAAACACACTCCGAGGGACAGAAATTGGTGCGTAATTGAGACCGAATGTAAAGAGGAATTTTGGGGGCTGCCATAACGGCCTTTTGAGGTGCTTTTTTATTTGGAACAATTTGAAGAGGAATATTTATTAAATTATGAGTGGAAACATGCATGGGAAAAATTATTTAATTGGATGTGGTATTTTTTGTTGGTTTTTATTCCAGACGAATATTTTATTTGACAACGGTCAAAATGGGAAAAATTTAATGAACTCATATTTCAGGGGTTTTAAAACTTTATTGAAATTAGTATTGTCTGTACAGAACGATTTCGTAAATGAAATAATGGAGATTCGCTCCAAAAAGTATGCTATCCCAAGTACTATTGAAGTTCACGGGAAAAGAATTCTCATAAGACATTTAAAAATTTTTTAATTGGTTTAGTTACTTATAAATCTGTATTAAAAAAAATGATTATTGATTTGTTAAGACAATTAACTATTTTGATAGATTTTCCGTTATTTTATATTACTTGGGCTTATTCGATTTCTAAAGGCCCTTAATCCGAATTCATTCAAAATAATTGCTTTTCAAATGCTTTAAGGCTTTAAATATCTCAATCTCGGTTATGAACACTGCCTTAATCCACCTGCAGTTAGACATCTACAGATGTACATACAAACACGTATCTGCCCTTGTAATCTATTTGCTTGTTGAACTTGTGTTTGGCACTTCGTTCCATTTAACGCTAAGCAAGCGGAAGCCTCATCAATATGATGGTCGTGTCGCATTATCAAACGTATTTATTTGGTAAACAGCAAGATGTAAGCAGAAACAAGACGCCGGCAAAGCCCGAGAATAAAGATAAACTAAGACGCTCTTATCGCCCGAGATGAAAGCAAGAAAAATGGCAAAGGAATTGCCGAAGGCACACACGCACGCACACACAAACACACACGGGCAAGGAGTCACAGGATATTCAGAGGATATGTGGACATTGTGGATACAAAAATATTGGCCACGTTGACAGCTTAACGTACATAATTAATGTGACAATCTAAGGGAATGCGTGTGTCCGGGTGTGCGGACATTAATTTATGGGCATTGGGCCAGATAAACATGTTGCCAAAATGATCAGACCGGGCACATACCGGGCACACAAATGACGGGCCCAACATTAATTACAGGCTGCCTTTTAGCCACTGCTCAACTAAAACCGCCGCCAACTCATTAAAGGAGCGCTCGTCTTGGCCACAGTCAACTGGGCGTATGCGTGACGCCTGCCAAATAAATTGAGAGACAAACAACAGACATTAAAAGTTTTTATTGTCCAAATGCGTTCGTTCTCACCAAAAATATATAAATGGGCACATCCGCAGACGAGGCGGCCCCGCATCCTGGGCAACAAAAAGCATTAAATTACTTTATAATCCGTTTATAGCTTTGCCCGGAAGTGGTCCAGACACAAACGAACATACAAACAAACAAACAAACAAACAAACAAACAGACAAACAAACGAACAAACACTCACGAACCGCCCCTTGGGAGGCCAGCTCAACAGCATAATCAAATCAAAGATTACGTTGAAACATTGAAATTACGTCTAGAGCAGAAAGCACTCATAGTCATAGACACTACCACACACAAGCCAAACACACACACACAAACACACACATTCACGGACACAAGGACATGCGCTGCCTCTTCTTTCCATATCCTTGCTGGCCGAAATTAAATTGTTTTTCCCACCACTCTTTCAACTTTTTGATACTCATAATATGGGCTTTGAAATAAGGAAATGGGGAAATATTTGATCAAACCATTTTGTTTGATTTAGGAAAATATTTTATTACATTATTATTTTATTTATACAAACTAAATAATACATTTTAACAAATGTAAAAATCAATCAAAAAAATAAAAAAAGGTTACCTAAAAAACATTTTTTAATGAACTATTCATAAAAAAACTGGATTTTAATGAATTAAATTAAGTAGAATCAATTATTTTAATAAAGCAATTGCAAAAGGTTTTTTATTATATTTGTTGACCTACTGTCACTGAGTCATTGTCATTAGCTAAAAATTCTGCTTTAATTTGATTTTATTGTAACTAATTTATGTATTAACTCTGACAGATAATTCCATAATACAAGATTCAATGAATTAATTGTTTTATTATTATTTGCCACCTTTTTTAACCCCTTGCAGCTAAACACTTTTTATTAGTGTTGAATATTGAATTTATGTCGCTTTTAAAAAACACAATTAACTAAACAAATCGAATTTCACAAGAATAAGTGAATTTATTTTAAACTAATTCTGTTGAAAATTAATTAATCATTGAACATAAATCTGATAGCTTAAACAGCCCTTAGAAATAGTTTCTTAAACCCTAGTAATGAAGATAATTATCATATTTAATTGCTTTTCATAAGCCCAATGAAACCCAATTCTGGTACCCATTACCACTCGAGTATTCCCCGTCGAGAACCGAAAAATTCGCAGCTTAACGTGAGGCATCACTCGGCAGCCGCACAAACAATTACAAACACAAAACGGGAGGCTGTACAACTTTGACCCTGGGAAACGTAAACAGCAAGAACTACGGAACTATGGAGCACAAACACAAAAAACAAAAAAAAAAAACAAAAAACAAAATAAAATGAAATGAAAAACCGGGGGAAGACCGTAATAACTTTGCTTCATTCATGCACACAAGGTGATTCATGTGCGAGGGACTCGGCCTGCGCACTCTCTCTTTCGCTCGGCTCTACCCGTCTCTTTCGCCCCCGTATCCCTGTCCTGCTCTCTGTCGAAAAGCTGACAACCCTGCAGAGCGCACATTTGCGAAAGCAGTAGCAATGGCTTTTATCAGTTGGCTCGCTGACTTTGTCCTGTGAACTTCGTCGCGCTGGAAAGTCCTTTGAAACTTTCACATTTCTCCTTTTTTGGTGTGAGTGCTACGTGTTTTGTGTGCGCGCTTCTGTGTGTGTGTGTGTGTGTGTCTGTGTAAGGGCGCCAAGTTTTGTCGGTGAGACTTTAGCCACCAGTAAACAACAACAAAACAGAGACATTGACAAAAAAAAAAAAGGAAAAGGACAAAGGACAATTGAGCCTGCGGCCAGGGAAACCGCAATCAAAAATTGTAAACAAACTCTGGAAATTGAGAAAAATCAACAAAGGAAGACGACGCCGCCAAGTAGGCAACGATTCCGCTGCTAGCCAACATGGAAATGGACGTTAATCGCCCGACCGGCCGCCATGGCAACCTAATGACCATTTCCGCCCGCTGCTCCAACAACAACGAGCAGGCCGTCCTAGCAAACGCCACGACATTGGCAGGAAGTGAGCCAACTTCCGGCGGCTGTTGCGGCATCTTGAGCCGCCTCCTGTGTGTGAGCCGCCATAAGGCCACCCAATCGGTGGCAGGCACCGGTGATCCCCTTTCCCAGCTGCAACTGCAGCGCAAAGGAGCAGCAACAACAACAGCAGCTGCTGCTGCTGCTGCCATTTCCGGCCAACGACGCCGACGCACGCCGCAGGAAATCTACTTCGAGAGTCGCGGCAAGTCCTGCAAGAAGCTATTGAAATTCAATGGTAATTCCAACAAGGTGAGTGGCGGGACAGGGAATTTCAATAGGTTTACTTGCTCAAATCATAAAAAAAATGGTGATTCTGTGAGATGCGCCTCAAATCCTAGCTCGCAAATCTTTTGCATTCAATGGCTGCAATCGACTTGAAGTTGAATAATCAAGGCTTATTCTAGAATTGATTTAACAGTGGTCTAAGTTTAAAAATATATGCATTAAAAAGGGGATTCCACAAGATAAAGCTGATAATAATGGTACTCAACATGTATTTAAAGAGTACTTTTAAGGTTACTGAGTTTAACATTTAATGTTTAACATTTTAAAAAATTTAAAATAATATACACCCAGATAAAAAACGTGGCAAGTCGCAAAATGTTCACTTTTTTAAATAAATATTTTCTGTAACAATTTAACCCGAAAGGTGTTTTGAAAAACTATTTAAATCTTAAATTTTTTTATTGAATAAATTGGTTAAATATGTTAATAAATAGCATTTAAATGTTTAATTTTACTACCTCGTTGCCTCTGGGTGCATATATGTTATTCTGAGTAGCAATATAGAACAAACCACTAGTAGATAAAGTCATCCATGTATCGGATAATTATATGCCCCATTTATTCTAAGTCCTTTGAGATACAAATAACAAGATAATTAATTTCCAGTTTGACCCAGTGCAGCTGCAATAGCTTGAGACACCGGCCCAGAAACGCTCTTTTGTTGTATTGTAAAACACCTTAAGAGAATCCCAATGCTTATCGCATAATGGAACAATTCCCCTTTCGAGCACATTGCAAACAATCCTAAAAGTGCATAAATTTTACAGTCTCCTGGTTACATTGTCATCCATAGCGAGGCAAGGACCCAAAGTCGAAGCGCTGGCGCCAAAGTGCCATGAGCCATGAGCCATGAGCCACGAGCCACTCAACCGTAAGGTAGCCAATACCCAGGGGTCCTTTCTTCACCCCTCTTCACCCCTCGTCCTTTACCCCCAATTATGTGTGTGTGTGTGTGTGTGTGTGGGCCTTTTGTTATAAATTTTGGAAAATTTGTAGCCAAAGCTGTGGAGTGAAGTTCGCTCGATTGCTACCGGTTTGTTTGGTTTTGGCCTAGGTAACATAGAGAAAAAGGGAGTGGGTTGGCAAAACGGGGCCAATACACACACACACACACACGACACACACACACAGTTATGCGAGTGTGCTTATGCCACTTTGCATATAAATCATTTGGCATTGTGGCCAGAGCGCAATGCGCTTATGAAATATTTCGTTTGTTTAATGCGCCAAAGGACAACATTCCATTCCGTTCCAAAGCACGTGGCTGCGGACCCACTTTTAGCCCGATCTCTCCAAATTCCCACTAATTAAAAACGTGCAAAAGAAAAGCCAATCAAACAGGTCGATGCACAACAATGGCTGTGTGTTTCTTCTATTTCAAAAACCCAGAAAAAAGAGATGTTCAATTATGCCACAACACTGCCAAAAAACGGGAAACTTCTTTCATCTCAAAGAGAATTGATAAAATATTTATACATAAAATCAGTTTTTAATTAAAAAATTAAGTTCAATTTACATTACGTTTTATTTTTATAAAATATACCTACGTATTTTAAAAACAACAACAAATAAAAGTCAACTTATGTTATCAGTTTTAATTGGATAACTTCATTTTATAGAAGACATTAGGACTCAACGAACTTATTTGGATACTTTTGCCTCAAATTTGTGGTGTCACAAAGAATCATGATTACCTTAAGTATTCTGGTTTTATCTGAGTCCAGCATATCTGCTTCAATTTGAAGGTATGTATAGGATAAAAGCTTTTTAAATGCTGCACTTTTTGTTTCCCAATTTTCGTCCTCTGCACGAGTGTGTGTGTGAATCAAGTGCACATTTCACACAAGCACACGTACACACACACACTCTGCAATCTGCAATCTGCTGGGCATCACGCACTGAAGCGCAAGCAACAGGATGAATTTGTTAAACAACATGAACACGAGGGATCTGCAGGACCTCCAAGATTGGGCTGGGGTTACGGGTACCGGGTGCATGCGAGAGCGAGAAGTGAAAAATGAAAAACCCATTCGCCCTATCAAGTGACATCATCAATTTCAGTCTATTTTGCACACAGTCGACTTGTGGCTCTGGTCGTCCTGGACCTGCTCCTCGTCCTTCTGCTCGTCCTGGCAGTGCAACAATGCCAAAGGACATTAACACCAATCCGTTGACAACGAGTCCAGAGGACCGATGGAGACATTCTCGCTCCCGTAAAATTCAATTCCAAAAGCTTTGCCCGCTCATTGAATCAACCGCTTTGAGCAGCAAGACCAGAAGACCAAAGCACCTTTGATGAACAATCTGATTACCCCCTAGTTACGCCCTCAAAAGGGTAGTTTACACTTCGTCCCCGCCATCGATTTTATAATGAAGCAATAGGTTAGGTAAAACAAAAACTGTTTACCACCGTGGGGGTGTGAGAGCGGACAGAATAAATTGTATTCGGTTGCAACCACCCAAAAAAAGAACGGAAATCAACCCTCAGATGAATGTACTATATATGTATATACACTTTTGCGGATAATGTTGCAAGTGAAATCTGTGGAGTGGAGTTTACCCTCTTAAGCGAATGCGATAATGCTGTAAGATATATATTTACATTAACAGCAGAGCGCGTTTGGGGAAGGTGTCTCGAAAGTCAGGGCATACCTGAGCATAAGCGAATAAATATTAAATCAATGAGGATCAGTATTAAGTTAATATGGTAATTATATGATATATCCCATCCTTTAAGCTTCACATTTATTTGTAATCCCCTTCTTCTTTACGCTGCATAATTAGTTTCACATGCACAAAGGCCAATGCAATCAGGGACTGATGGAACTCAAAGAGCAGAAAGAGTATTATGAAAAAATGAACGACCTCTTCAAGCAAGGCGGAAGTGACTAGCCACTGTTCCCGCCCACTTTCCAGCCCATTTTCCACCTCCTCTCCCCTTACATGTCCTTGTAAGCTGCTGCCTGTCTGTGAGCATCGTTATGTCCTGGCAGTGTGAGTGTGTGTGTGTGTCTGCATACATATGCATAAAAAAGGAAGAAAACTGCCATCAACATTGCAACGTTGTAATTGCCAACAGGCAATGAAGAGCCACAGCCAAAAGCAGGAGGCGGGAGTGGGAGGGGTTTGGGGTTGGGGGGCGGAGAAAGCGCAGCAAACTGCCAACTGCCACATGTCCTGCCAGCTCAACTCCTGCTGAAAAAGGACTCTCCGCCTGGTCACTCACTACCAACGAGGGTCACTTGTAAAATATCTATAACAAGGATTGGAAATAGTAAACCATGTTTAAACTTTTATTTCACTTACATTAAAAGATCTTCAAACATGAACATTATTATGGTTTAATCTGTTATTTCTTATTTTTTGGATCACAAAATTTTATTTAGAAAAATCAAAAAAAGCATACGTGCTTTTTAATATTTTTCAATATTTTTAAGAAATTAAGCAAATGCCGATATTTAACCCTTAGATATCCTAACAAGGGTTTAAACATTTAAATCACATAAAGTATATAATACAAAACTATACCTTTTTGTGTATGTAACAAAATTAAACATTGTTAAGAATTAATTTAAATTTGTGTCTACCTACATATTTTATGTTATGTATAATTATTTTTAACTATAACAACACAATTTTTTAAAATGAGTAAACAGGCTTTACTTTACTATATAAAAAGGGAAAAAATAGTTTTATTAGTTATTACTTGTTCTCAAGTTATATATAAGTAATTTCCCTATTTATAGTTACAAAACATTTATTGATATCAGTATGATATTTCACTAGTTTTGGCTATACCTTTTAAACTGGGTCGTGAATTGGTGAAACACTCCTTTCGCAGGATTTGTGCGTTGGGCCGACTGGCCAGTGCGACATTTTTAGCACACGGCTGGCTAATGTGTTTTGGCTGGCACTGATGCTGATGCTGCGCCATCTCGCAGCTTTCAGTTTTTGAGCAGGATGCAGGATGCAGAATGCAGAATGCAGAAGGCAGGATGCAGAACGAAGGATTCAGGGCCACCCTGATGGGATAACGAGGGGTGTTGCGGTCCACTCCAAACTGCACTGGCTGGACTGACTGATGAGCTGGCCGACCGAGTGTCGCCTCTGGCCTTGCTGTTTGCTGATTTGGCCAACCCCAACTATTCATTATAATCAGGCCTGATTATGTCTGCCCAAAAGTCAAGCAGGCCGAGTCAATTTGCGAGTGTATTTATTTAGCTGGCGGGCAAACGGAAGCGGCAAACGGGAAACACCAGAAGCCGGAAAGTTGAATGCGGGATGTGTATAAAATAAAAAGTCATAAAACTGAACCGTTAATCCAAGTAGTTGAAACACAGACCCTTTTTTTTTTGTTGTGCCAAGCAGATGAAGCGGTTCGCTTGGCTTTTATTTGGCTCTTTTTTTTCCTTTTTTCGTTGGCGATGACGATGACAAGGGTGCTTTGCCGCCTCACTGACTAAATAAAATTGGAATTTATTATCATGATTTGTAGCAAGAAGCGGCAGTAGAGACAGCAGCAAAATGGCGGGCATAAAAAAGAACATTCTTCCTCATCAGATCCCAAACCCTCTGACTCGGACTCTGAGTCATCGTCGAATACCGAATCCTGAATCCCGAAAGCCTAACCCAAAGTCATAGACTTAGATAAGTAAGCGGGGGCACTCTTAAATTTATATGCTACCCGGCAAAGATTTAAATCGCTCTGGTCAAAGTTGAAGGCAACGCCTACTCCCATGGAGGGAAAGTGGGCGTGGCAGCAGCAGCAGCAGCCGCAGAAGGCTTAACTGTGCAGTTTCTTGCTGGTTTATTAGGGTTTTCCCGCAAGCTGCTAAGGCGATTTGCTGCTATTCAAGCTGATGCAGCTGGCCACGGGCCGTATGCGCGATTTTGCTGACTGGTTTTGTGGCAAGTGGTAGATGGTAGGTGGCTAGTGGCTAGTGGCAAGTGCCACTGGCAGCTTA